GGATTACTTGTGGATTATTGTGATGTTTTTATCAGCTGTTTGGACTCTCATTCTGACGGCACCCATTCACTGCAAAGCAACTATTGCTGAGACACTGATGCAATACTACATTTCTCCGAATCTGTTCTGATGAGGAAACAAACTCATCTACAGCTTGGCCTGAGGGTGAGCACATTTTTTTTAGCAAATTTTTATTTTTGAGCGATCTGTTGCCTCATATCCTGGTCTTCAAAGTTTACCTTGATAAAGTAGTTGGTTCCGGCCACGACCTGAGTGGTGAAAGATTTGGCAATGAAAGCAGCAAACTTCTTCCCTGCCTTCTCTTCTGCATGATGTTTGATCTGAATCAAAAGACACAGATTTCATATTTAATGCATGTGTGTTTAATTCACATTAAAATAATATCACAATGAAATTTTGAGTTGGTCTTAAAATATGCTTCTTTTTCATGAAACACAATTTCTTGTTTTTTTCCCCTTTGACGTACACTGAAAAAGCCTGTTTTGCAAAAAGTATGTGATTTGTCAAGTTAGACGAATTACTCTGACACACCCTAAGACTTACTCACCATCATGTGAAGATTACCAATTCATTCAAGCTATCTAAAAGCATTCGTTCGTTTATTTTTGGCCTTGCATAAATACCATTTATTGCTTGCAATCTCTGGTGCATGCATTTGACATACATTATGACTTTAAATCACTTAGGAAGCTGAACGTAGTTATCCTGCATTAATAATTTTTTATTTCTCATTTGATTATTTTATCGACACATAGCATAGTACATTCTAAATACTAATTAATAATAGCTTATAATAATTAATAAATACACATCACGTGCATTCTCATATCAGCTGACGTACACCATCAAAACAAAAGCAGAAGCTCCAGTCTCACCTCATCGCAGATCTTCTGCACCTCGGGTGTGGCTTGCTTCACCTGGGATGGACCTCCAACCAATGTCGCCATTGCTGTAATCGGTGTCGAGATATAGCAAAAAATTATTTTAGACAATCTAATTCACAGAAACGTCACTGCTGCAGTATTTATGTTGTCTAGAAGATCATATGACTATGAGCCATCACTGGAATGTTCCATGTGTTCGGAGGAGGCGGGGGTTGATTAAAAAAACTACTTTACCAAAAAACAAAAAAATCATAGAGTTAGGCTATAACAGTAATGATGTATAATTAAATAATACAAATAATTATTAAGGTTGGTGTTTAAACCTAAACACATTTGTGTATCATAACATCTGATGTACCAAGGATATATTTTGGTTTAGTCTGAGGCGGGACTAACAAAAGTGAGTAGATAGAAAGACAATTGTGGGCGTGGCTTAATAGACCGTGCGTTCTCTCTGATTGGTGAACTCCGATGGTATAAATAAAAATAAAAAAATCCTATTTTAATTACACACTGTATATTTTCGATTAAAATTACTTCAGGAAGTTATTAAAGAGTATACTATTGTCCAGACAGCGGCAAAAGCACAAATATAAACGACGCAGTCACGTGGTACATATTACTATTCTCAGCGCTGATCTGAACGGACCGATCAAAATCGATTGTGATTACTAGATGAAGATTTGTTTTAATTACATTTAAAGGAATGACTGGGAACAAGATGCATGTCTATATCACAGATTGCTCATTTAAAACAATAGGTTTGAACGATTATAGTGAAACATCTCCAATAAAACGAATAAGGTAATTGGCTTTTGAGCCTCCGAGCGCTGCCTGGAGGAAAACATGCTTCATGATAAACGCTATCAGCGACGCTCAGATCCGTGCAATCGCCTCAATCATAGATACATAGTTAAACCAAATACGCTGCTTTAGATCAGTCATAGCTGCACTTTTTAGACTGCATTCTATCTGCACTTAAAAGCGCACGTATCTTATCTTGAATACGATAGAGATGAACACAGTGACTCCTGCTTCTGTCTGTCTCAGCAGACACTGGCGATCAATGCGATAATTACGGTGGCCGAGAAGTGCTAAACAAATCACAATTCTGAAATCAAAATAACAAATTACAAACGCAAATGCAAGTCTAAAAAACAAAATAACAATTCAGAAAGCACAACAACAATTCAGAAAACATTATAACAAGTCAGAAAACACAATGACAAATTCGAAAACAAAATAACAAGTCAGAAAACACAACTACAAATCCGAAAACAAATTAACAAGTCAGAAAACACAACGACAAATCAGACAAACCGGAAGAGGTAGGTATAGTTTGAGACAGCGCCATTGGTTTGGGATTACTCACGGCTGACTGGACGAGACATCTGTCAATCAACGTATACTGGAAGAACCAGCCGAAGAACAGCAGAGTCGTGGTGGAAAGTTCGGAGATGGTATTAAAGTAGCTCAGTTTAAATGTATTGTATGAATTGCCCTTACTATTGAATAAAAAATGTGGGGTGTCTATTTACATTTAGTTAAAAGTGGCTGTAAACCATCAGCTCTGGTGGCACAGATAGATAAGCGCGTGTTGTTGACTTTTTGACGCGATCGACCTGGGTTCGATCCCGTCTTTTGCCGAACTTTTTTTTCCTCCCTTTTCAAATCTCGTATTAGCAATATTCTATTTACACTAAGTGAAAATAGCAGTATATTTATCAATATGTTATATACACTAAGTGCAAATACCTATTTACACTATGTTAAAATAGCAGGATTTCTACTATCAAGTATACTACTTGTTGCAAATAGTGGCAATTATCTGCACTTCAGTATTGTAGTACATTATAAAACAATATGCAATAATAACGTATTGAGTGTAAATTATAATTTTAATTTTAATTATTAAATGGATGCCACCTTATTGGTACAATAAAGCCCTCCCTACACCTACCCAAACCCTACCCGATACTTTATTTTCAACGTTTTGATTATTTCCTTAATTTTTTATTGAAAATAAATGCCTTTACGATGTGACATGAGATTTGAAAAGGGAGGAAAAAAAAGTTCGGCAAAAGGCAGGATCGAACCCGGGTCGATCGCGTCAAAAAGCCAACAACAAGCACTTATCCATCTGCGCCACTGGAGCTGATAGTTTACAGCCAGTTTAACTAAATGTAAATATACACTCCGTATTTTTATTCCATAGTAAGGGCAATTAATACAATACATTTAAACTGAGCTACTTTAATACCACCTCCGAACTTTCTACCACGACTCTGCTGTTCTTCGGCTGGTTCTTCCCTGTATACGGTGATTGACAGATGTCTCGTCCAGTCAGCAGTGAGTAATCCCAAACCAATGGCGCTGTCTCAAACTATACCTACCTCTTCCGGTTTATCTGATTTGTCGTTGTGTTTTCTGACTTATAATGTTTTCTGAATTGTTGTTGTGCTTTCTGAATTGTTATTTTGTTTTTTAGACTTGCATTTGCGTTTGTAATTTGTTATTTTGTTTTCAGAATTGTGATTTGCTTTGCACTTCTCGGCCACCGTAGAATGTGGATCTTTGACAACATTGTTGTCTCTACGCAAAAAAAACAAAAAAACAAAAACAGGGAAAATCTCTTTTTTTCATCATCAAAGTTTGCAGCTCTTTGATGTCAGTTGACTGTCACATAACATGTAGGTAAACAAATACAATATTTAATCTTTTTAGTCAAGTGTTTTATTTTGTTTGTTTTTATTTTAATTTTATTTTATTAGTTACGTCATTCAAATCAATCGTATCACTTCAGAAGACTTGGATTAATCATTAATTTGTTTAGATTACTTTTATGCTACCTTTATGTCCTTTTTGAATTTATGGACCCTATTGACTTTCACTGTATGAACAAAAATGGATGCAAAACAGCTCAAATATCTTCTTTTGTGCTCCTCACAAGAAAGTCATATGAGTTCGGAATGACATGAGAGTAAGTAAATGACGGCAGAATTAAAATCTTTGGTTGAACTTCTCCTTTAATCTAGACAATGGGATGAAGAAACTAATGTTTTGACGTATTTCACATTTCTTGGTTATTACATAGTTCCCATTCTTGTGTTATTTCAAAGATTTTACTTTTTATTCTAAAATGTGGGAAATGGTATTAATGAGTAGGTGTTTCTTTTGACTAGTGATATAAAGGAATACCACAAGGATGATACATTGTGTACAGGTCACAGTCTGACAGATTACGTATCTCAAAGAACAAACAGTGTTCTGTTAAAAAACAGAATAAACAGTGAGCTCTACTGAAGAATCCTCTTTTATGGTAGATTTCATTCTTACTTGCCTAAGACCCCTGAGAAAAGTGTGGGCTTGAAAGAAACGAGGGTGTGGAGCTGGACGTGGCAATTAAAAGCATGAAGGGGAAATGACACACTCGAGATGAAATGAGCAAAAATCCATGCCTCAATTCCGTATGGCACGCCACAGCTGGAGGAGAAAAACAGAGATGTCTACATCTGACGACAGTGTTACGCACCCTGCCCAAACAGCTAATCTCTGTCTGATGTGGCAGGGGCGGGTCTTTTTTTCTTCAAGGTCCTCACCTGACTGCAGGGCTCTGAGATTCCAGAATCTAATCTATTCCAGGAATTCTAGTTCATATTGTTCTACTACTGGAACTTTTTAAATACAGAGAAGATTTTAAAATAAATTAAGAACACATAACATACTGAACATTTTATGAAGCAGACAATATAGGGGAATATTTCCTCCTAAGAGCATTTGCTTTTAAATTTAAACATATTTACACTAGATGAGGTTTTAAGTTTGTGCAGGATGATGATGCATCAGCCAATGTGTTATTAAGGGACATTTGTTAATTTGATAATTCATTTGTCATAGCACAAAATGTAAAATCATTCATAGAGTACTGGGGTAAGATGGCCCTCTAGTTGGGGCAAGAAGTTTTGTAAAAAAAAAAATGCATGGAACATGAGAATGGAGTAAAAGCTGTAGAAAATGTGCATAAATATAAAATCAAGATGAGCTCTTTTATCCATCTGTAATATTACTTTTATACAAAATTTTCATGTTTCACATCAGATGGTACAGTTATGTGATTTACCAGCATATAAAATGATGTAACTGACGAAAGATTAGCTCTGATTTGAATAAATAAACAAGGCGATTTTCTCACAAAATTGGGTAAGTTAAACTATTGGTTGAAACCATATTCGGTCCATAACTTTAATTTTCTGTATAAGATATTAATATTTTGTGTCTCACAAATTGCAAAACTATGCAACAACATTCGAGAAAAACTGAAGCTTTATGTAAGAGCCCTGAAAAGAGAAGTGATACTAACTCATTTTAGTTGTGGTAGTTGTTGGTATTTCAATGGTATTTCCTACATTTGGTTCAAAAGTTCACTATAATAGTGTTATTATAGTGAACTTTTGAACCAAATGTAGGAAATACCATTGACATACTATTACATAATTTCTAAGAAGAAATCCACTGGACCACTATACAATGAACCCACCTTTTTTGACAATGATGTGGAAAGATGTCTCTGGCTAACATGGACAATATTGTTAGATTTAAATTTTACATTGTAAAAATGTTTTTTTTGTTGTTGTTTTTTTTCAATATCCAATTCAGTATCCAATCCTTCAAAGTATCCTAAAGCACTGAGGTGCCTCAGGGTTCAGTTATTGGCCCGCGCCTCTTCTAATCATTCATAGCTTTTCCTACCACTGCTGCATCGATTAATTGCAGCTCTATGTCGTTCCAGCCTAACAACACCAGAGCCTGTGAGTGAATCTGGACTTGTTTGTGGATTAAAGAGCAGCACCTCCAACTCAATCTATCCTATATTTTGAACGGCGTCATTAGAGAAAGATTATTTTTGCCCCAGATATATATTTTACAATTTAAAATCTTGGTCTGGGACAAGAAACAATAAAATCTGTAGATAAAAGATTATTGAAAATTTGCAAAAAATAAATGAAGGTATGGTAAAAATATTTCCAAGTATTAATGTTTTAATAAAAATTTTAAAAATCCCTCGGTATAGTGAGCTTAAAGTGTAACTTGTCAACAGGTTATTTCATTCCCCAAATGAAGAGCAAAGCACTATTTTATCCAGACACTAGTAGTGCCCTCACCAAGGAAAGAACAGAATTGTGAAACTGTGATGTGAGTGTGGTTTTAACATGTCATTGATGTGAGACATCTCATAGTATTTCAAGAGCCTGGTGAGACACAGAACAAGTTCTAACACAATAACTAGTTACGTAATGTATTTCTCAGACCAACCTCATCAAAACAACATTAGTCATTATAAAGGTATCACTTTTGTTTTTTAAACTCTCAACAAAAGCTCCTTTGAATCTAAACATATTCATATTTCCTCTGAAATGTGTCATGGTGCACTGCTTCATGCCTACATTTAATTATTTTTTTTAACTATGTGGCCTGCTACAGGAAATCTTGCTTAGTCACCAGACTTGTAAAATACATGATATGCTGCTCATTTGTAAACTAGAGTGAACTAGTTCAGACTTTCAGAAGATTTCTATCAGACATGTTTGCAAGTCTTGTATAGGTGTTTTTATGATCAGAGGGAATATGTTTACAGGAATGTCCTTTATTGGGTTTGACCATGGAGCGTTTGACACTATTCAAAATGTGTTATGCAGGAGAGGTTTCATCAAATCTATTCTGCTTTCTTACTGGACAGAGAACTTTTAGATACTGTACATCTGAATGCAAACATCACAGCAAATTACAATGGGGTTCAGAATTCTTAGACTCTTCATTTTGGTTAATGCACGGGTGAATATGAATATAGAAAATATGGAGCATGTTCTTCTTCAGAAAGAATGCAAATGGATATTCCATTTTAAGTCTGTGCTTCCACATGGAATGAAGGAAGATTTGTCTATGAGTTGATTTCTGTAATGTCTTGATATTCTTAATTTTAAAAAAAAATTCTTCTTCTTTTTTATAGAATTTTGATTTGTGTCAACAAGATTATTATGCAGAGAAAAATTATGTAACTTACGGTGTTGGGTCAAGTTACTTTTAAAAGTAATGCATTACAATATTGCGTGACTCCCTTTAAAAGTAACTGATTGCGTTATTGCGTATTTTATGGAAAGTAATGTGTTACAATACTTTTGCATTATTATTTTTTTCCTCATCTGGGCTAGGCTTGCTTGTTTGTATGCAGTGATAGCTTTATGTCTATGAATGTTAGCACAGATTAATGATTTTGGGTACATAGTAGCAACTGTTTAAATCTATTGTAGTAGATGAAATATATTTCTCTATAAATAGAATCAGGTGCTATTTTCTATGATGACGAAAAAGTTTTGACTTTGCACTGAGCATGTTGCACTTTTATTCTACGAAATTTTTTATGATTTTTTTTCTACAGCATTCTCTTGTTTAACTCATTTTTAATTATTATTAAATTTTTTATTATTATTTTATTTTGAGCTTACACACCAAAGTATTCTCCATTTACAAACTTTCTTAGTATTTGGTGTGGACATCTCACTTTATTCATTTATTCATTCATACATTCATTCATTCATTTACAGTCTTTTAATATTCTAGTTACAAATCAATAATACAATAATATATTGGCAAACTGGGAAAGCATCAAGATTATATCAATAAAAGGAAACAAGGGGGGGGAAATGGTTTGATTCACTATTGCATACCATATCAAAATATATATCAGAATCATTAACTTTGTCATTTTACTTGTATATAAAATATAGCAACTTTGCATCATCCCGTACTGGCATAGGACCATTTTAGAATTAATTGAGTAATGTATATGTGCATAATAATAAAGGTGATTGAGCTTAAATAGATTTACCATTTTACCAGTCTATGATTTCATACCAACTTACCAACAGTACAGCAGGAAAAAATTGAGTAAATTACAAAATAAATTATGAAAATGTTTGTTTGTTTCATTTGTACCATTTTTAGGCGCATCTTTAAACAATCAAACATTGTTAATGTCTAATAATTTGATCATTACATGAAATAATCAAAATGAGCAAAACCCTTCACTTATTATTATAATGATCATAAACTGACACTGAACATTAAAAATGAAGATTAATCATGATTTTAATTGGATTGAATTGAATAAACAGACGTAAACTTTACCACCGGTAGAAAATGACATGATGCATGCAGTCAGATATACTCTGGACGCACTACAAATCTAAAACTGTAGTCATCAGGACAGGGGTTTGGCAGATCCATACTGCTGTTATTTGGAATCACTGCCATGCTGTTTTTGATACCATATCCGTATAATCTTGCAACAGGAAAAGATGTACATGAAACCCCATAATTAGAGCATTCCTGATTACTAAGAAACACCTGGGCTTGCCACTGCACATTTTGTTCTCTGTAAAGAGCACTAGGGTGTGCAGGAGTGGAGAAGGTTTGGATTCTGTTATTTTGGCCATAGTAGTAGTGATGGTATTGGTAACTGACGGTTGTGTCATTGATAAATAGACTCCACTCATCTCCAGTGTAGATTCTGGGTAGATACTCACTACTTATGTTATCAATTTGATTCCTGATCTTGGAGAAGGGTAGAACATTGAACTGAAATCCTCTGAGCAGACCAGTTAGGTACAGTTTCTCATGATTCTGACGGAGAACGCCTGAGGAAAACTGCATTGCATACAGCTTATCCACTGGGATCAAGAGGAAGCGGATGTGATTCAGGAGACTGGCCTGTTGATCTGAACTAATCTCATCACCTTTGTCTTGGATCCATCTCTCCAGAGCTTCAAGAAGAAAAGCTTCATCCTTCACAACCAGGTCTGAGCGCCGCAGCAGAGCGTCCATCATGTGAAAGGAGATGGTGCTCCACACTGGAGAGCTTATGAGATACTCGCAGTTCCAGGAAAGATACTGAAGGACGTTCTCCTGCAGAACAAGGTCACCTGTGCGGACGCCATACTTGAACATGGATACCTGTGTATGGAAGGTGTTGTCTTCAGGAATGAGTAAAGTGAAGACCCTGCCAACATCCTTCATAAGCTTCTTCACTCCAAAGGTAAACGCCAGCTGATGCAGACATTGAGCCGATGTGATGGAAACATCAATCTGACGTGTGTACAAATACCTGAGCAAAAACAGATAGTGCCTAAGTACTGTGTCAATATTTAGTTCTGACGAGTCATTCCCAGGAAATGGTGTCATTTGTGGTTGTAGCTGGTGGCTACACTATCTTAATAGTCAATCTAAAGGCTTGAATACACTACATGAAAAAACGTAGTCTATCTGCACTCTACACTATAGGCACTTATACGCCTCATTGCAAAGAGATGCCTGATAAACTGCTTTGAGCATTGAGCGCAAGTTTCACAACGCTAAGCATGTTACAGTTATGTCTTGGTGTTGGAAGCTTCCATTCAGCTGTGTCAGCAAGCTGCAAGAAATAGAGGTTGAGTGATTTAATGGAATTCAAGTGTATTTCGGGCAAACCACTGGTCGCTAACCAATATCAGCTGCTGATTCGTCACTCCACCTACTTTAATATAAGGCCTTTCATACGCATGCTCCTTCATCTGTCGCACAGACATATGCACCCACCTCCACCCCTTTCCCTCCTAGCATCTTGACAAAAGAGCATTTGGATATCTGCTTAGGAAATTATTTTGACTGGACTGCTGACGGTAGCCACTGACTTCCATACTATGGAAAAAATACTATGGAAGTCAATGGCTACCATATGGCTACCAATGGTTTTGTGTGAACTATCCCTTTAAACCAAAATAATTAATCCACAGAATTCCCAATAAATTCTATTCTCAGAAGTGGTCCTGACTGAACTTTATTATGATTTATTTTTGCAAGGTGGAGCTTTTATTAGAGCAACCACATTAGACATTCTAGTTTACCCCATTCTTTGTATGAACACAATAAGCCACAAAAGACACCGTTCAAGAGAATCACACACAGAATAAAGAAACAAATAAAAAAAGAGAAGTGGTCTTTAGAAAGTTACCTAAGAAAAGCAGAGACATGAGGATGGCAGGTCTGGCTGATATCCACTGTGAAGTTTCCGGAGTTGTTTGTTATGTTTAGTTCTGGATAAATCATAACGATCATACTGTGCACACAAAAAGTCAATTCTGACTCTTCACTGACGTCTTGGACATTAATTGTGAAATCACAACCATCTCCACTGTCAAACAGAAGACCAAGATCATCAGACAAACCCAGACTGTTATCCAGAAAGAACTGATGATTGCTGGTTATGTTTGTACCTGCAAAAAAAAAAGGTAATAAATAAGATGAAAATGTTCCTCAAGTTCCTCAAATCAATAAAAATCGTGGTCAAAGCACTTTGGGAAAACAAAGAAAATCAGTTTCTGTGGAAAATTTATTTTCTTGCTAGTTCACTGAAATTATAGCCAAACATGTTGCTTTTTATAGTAACACCTTGTGGCCAGCTGACAGTGAACTTCTGTGACTTGAGAGTGAACTTTCATGCTTATTTTTGTTATGGCCAATGAGTCTTTTGCATTTATCCGGAGCCAAACCTGAAAGGGAGTCCAGAAGATCCCACAGCATTGCAGTTCACATAATTCACGTAGTTATAATTCATGGCTGAAGATTAACGTTAATTGAGTGTGCATTTTATTAACAAACAAAACAATTAACAATCAAATTGGGAAGCTCCATTTTCAGGAAGCTCCATTTTACGCACAAATTATTCTGAATTTACTCATAGTCTTAGAGTTTCATGAATGAGGCCCACTGTCATTATGTGATCCTTTACATACATTGCCAAATTCATGATGATTAAGGCATTTGAAACTGAAATAAGTACCTGGCGAAAATTAAGTAGATATTTGTGGCTATACGTTAGGCTTGAAAGTGTATCTGCCAAACAAATTGAATAACAAAGAAATCTTTGAAATTCAAAGAGAAACATTAAATAATAAAAGGCAAGTACTGCCACACTTTTAAAATGTTGAAAACTGGTTGGAAATGAGACCTCAAATATGCTTATTTTAAATGTGTAACAGCGCCACCTAGCAGCAGATAGATGTTGTATAGCCTATTGCAGTGGTTCTTATTCCTGGTCCTGGGGACCCCCCTGCTCTGCACATTTTGCATGTCTCCCTTATTTAACACACCTGACTGAGATCATCAGCTCGTTAGGAGAGAGATCCATGAACTGAGTGTGTCAGATAAGGGAGACATACAAAATGTGCAGAGAAGGGGGACCCCAGGACCAGGAATAAGAAGAACCACTGGCCTAGTGGGTGACATCTGGGACCATTTTAGTTTCTGCATTTTACCACAGATATGGAGGGTGACAATCATTCATTTTTCAGATATCGGACATTCAATTGTTTTTTTTTGTGATACTGAATATTTGACTATACTTGCTTTCATAGAAGAAATGTCATAATAATAAAACATCTGAACAAAAACAAGAGAAAAATAATAAAAGTAAAAAATGAATACAATTAGGCATTATAGTTGTCACTGTTATAGGTGTTTTCATATGTTTCTTGTTCTCCTCCCCTGTTTACTTCAGGTCTACCCAGTTTCTGATCTTGTCATTAGTTTCCATGGTTACGTACAGTACGGTTAGTTTCAGGTGTGTCTCATTAATTTACCAATTATATATACTCCCTGTTTCGTTCCGTCCTCTGCCGGGTTTTTGGATTACACTACTTCATAGTGCGCTTAATATAGCACTACATGTTACAGAATAACCGGCCTAAAAGTGATTAATTTGTGGAGTTTCTTTCTTTTTGCTTTGTTTTCTTTTTTGTTTTTATGGATTTGCCCGATGTCAAGAGGATCGTTCCTTCACTACCCAGACAGCTGCCTGTGTACATTCTATTACGTTGGACTGAACACCTCGATGAAGGCCAAGCTGTCTGGCGAAGGTCCTCGAGGAAGCTTCGCCGCATTTGTGGAGTGGGTACTGGTGAATTGTGGATTGGCTTTCACCATTTGCCCCATGGGGTACATCCCCAGCCCCACTCTTGACTCAGAGCCCAGCCTGCCATCACCCTGCTGCACGGAGTGATTGTGTCCACCGCAGATGGAGAGCCAGAGCCAGCCGCGACAAAAGAACTAGTGCAAGAGGATGCGACTGATCCTGCCGCTGTAGAAATTCTAGTGGAGTAGGCGGGCATGGAGGAAAGCCCCGCCCACATTCCCACCACTGAGGGTTAGCTGCTGCTGGCCTCTGAATTAATATTTAAATATTTGGAAGAGGAAAACTTCCTGTTTCTCTCGTCATCGCTGGTTCCGTCCAGCCCTGAATGTCCTGTGTTTCTGCTGGTTCCATCCAGCCCTGAATCTCCTGCATCTCCTGCATCTCCTATGTTGCCCATCACCAGTTCTCCTGTGTTCTCTCCCAGCCTCCCTCTCCCTCCTCCTCTCCTAAAACCAGCCAGTTCCTCAGCCCTGCCTCCGCTGGTTCTTGTCAGTCCCTCAGCTCACCTTAAGTTAGCACCATCCAGGTGCTCTGATTCACTTCGGGCCTTCCAGTCCCCAGCTCCTCCTTGGCATGAGGATCCCTTATCTCCACATCTAGCCTCTGAGTCCCGGACTCCACCGCGGCCCTCTGACCCATCAGTGCCACCTTGGCTCCTTGTTCTCTCATCTCCACCATGGCCCATCATCCCACTGGCTCCACTGGGCTCCCTCATTCCTCTGGCTCTGCCTTGGTCAATCATCGACGTGCCTCCTCCACAGGATTGCACTCCTCCGGCTTCGTCTTGTTGCTCCATCCCTCAGGCTCCATTTGGCTCCTCCTTCCTTCTGGCTCCACATTTGTCCTCAGTCGCTCTGGCTCTGCCACGGTCTTCTGGGTCCCTGCCTCCGCCTCAGTTGCATGAGCTGTTAGCTCCGCCTTGGCCCTCCGGACCCACGGTGTCACTCTGGCTCTTCAGCTCTCCGTCCACGCCTTGGGCTCCACATCTATCGGCTCCTTCTCCATCAGCCTACCTCCACCATGGCTCCTCCCTCCATCAACTCCATCATGGGCCTTCTTCCTGCCTGGACTCTGGATCCAAATCTGGTTCCTCCTGCTCCTGGCTCCTCCCTCTGTCATCGTCACCTTCCTCTCACCATCCATCAACTCCCCTGGTTTCCTGTCCTCTGTGTAATCTGTGTCCTCCTCCAGAGCCCCCCTTCCCTCCTCAGATGGACTCTTTGCGGCGCGAGGACACACCTTTCAGGAGGGGGAGCTACTGTCATGGTTATGGACTATTTGTTGTTTTTTTCTTATGTTTCTTGTTCTCCTGCCCTGTTTAGTTCAGGTCTCCCTAGTTTCTGATCTTGTCATTAGTTTCCATGATTACGTATTAGTTTCAGGTGTGTCTCATTAATTTACCCATTATATATACCCCCTGTTTTATTTAGTTCTCTGCCGGTTATTTGCTTTACATGGTGTTTGTGCTACGTTTGCTCCTGCAATTCTCCTGTGTTTATTCCTTGTGGATTTAAAATTAAAACGCTGTTTTGGATTATGCTACTTCGTCGTGCGCTTAATATAGCGCTACACATTACAATAGTATTACAAGGCCTAAATCCATTTCCATAAGCAAGCGCTGTAATTTCTGCAAGATCCAGTAGATGTCTTACCAGTTTCACAGACCACTCCTGCATCCTCTTTATGTGAGCAGTCAGTAACACCCCAGCCTTTGAAGCAGCATTCAGACAATGAGCCCTCCGAGCCTTTGCAGTTCATGTCATCCAGCCAGATTGGACCAGAGCCTAAAAAGTATAATAGAACACGGGTCAAAAATTAGACTGCTGGTATCACAGTGCGTAACATTTAAATTGTTTTCCCCACACTAATGTGTTTATACCTTCACCATATTGTCCTCCAGGCGTAACTGATATTGCTCCAGGAAAACCCAGCTGACGACACACCACTTGTGCTTCAGCAAGGTCCCATCCGTCATCACAAACTGTACCCCACTGTCCGTCATGGTAGACCTCCACACGACCAGATGAAGGCAGATCCCCCACCAATCGCACTCTGCCTTCACGTTTAGGCTTTGACTCTTCATCTGTCACAAGCGATAAACTCATTTATTTAGAGGGTTCATGAAAATGTAAAAGAAAGCCCACAGCAAATAAGACAGACCAATCTGTGAAACGATGAAGGCTATATTTAAGATCAGATGAACAGCTTTGCCAAGATTTAAAGTAGATAGTAGTATATTCTTATATTTGTAAACACATGCATTTTTGTGTAATATTTATATAGAAAGTGCAAACGCAAACAATACTATGTAATTGTAAAGAAGTGTTATGTTCATATAGTCTACTAACCAAACAAAGTCCACCGCTGTGCTGACACATGGAAAAACAGCAATGTCCATAAAATATACATGACCATTTTCTTGCTGGAAACTCTTTAAAACACCAAAGCAGGATGAACACAATTCATGGAGGTTCTTACTAAAATACTTACAAACCGTCTTGCTTTCTTTTAAATATCTGCTAAATCAGGTCAAGCATTGTGAGATATCCCTTACATGATCCACCACTGTCCAATCACAATTAAGGTCTACCTTAAGTTTCATTTCATGAGAAAACAAACTCAAGAATAAAGGCAGTCTGCATGTTCAAACAAATCCAGTTTCAGTGGCTGTTTTGAGTTTGACACAAAGACCTTTCACACAATACAAAGATTAGGTACTCAAGCCATTTCTCAGCACTGGTGTATGTACATAAAAAGTCTATGCTCAAATAAACGTGACTGTGTTCTGTTTTATTCATTTTCACAAGGCCTTTTGAATCCGGGGTTTGGCATTCAAGTGACTTCAAGTGCGACCGGACCTGGCGTTGAAACGGATTTGAGCATGACGCAGCTGAAACACTCATGATTAGTGTTAACTACAATTCTTTTGCAGCATATTGTCACATATATTATGGCTTTTACTTACTGATAACTGTAAATTTTGGATCTGAACAGAAAATCAAGAGTTACAGTACAACGTAAGTTTCATGCAGTATTCATAAGTCTTGAACAATGAAAGCTATTGCAAAATAAATAAATCTGAATGTAACAGCCAAAAAACAACCTTTTTATGGTCCACAGTCCTCAGTTTTAACAGGGTGGACATTAATTAACTGGTGGACACCTGGACAATAAAGAACCCTTTTTGACTAAGAGGACAAGGTGACACCTGTTGCAAGACTTAGACTCTGAAAAAACTAATTTCATTTTAATAAATTTATAGAGGGTTAATTTAGTGGGCTGTTTAAGCTTGATTGTACTGTGCTCAAATGATTTACACATTCAGAGCATAACAATAGTCTTTTATCAAAAGGACACTGTGTCTTAGAATAATACAACTCTTTTGGCTGATGCTATATGACACTGCTGGGTGTGAGCACATCTCAAAGAAGAACTTATGAAATGTAAGCTCTTTGACATTCAGATCTTCATTTCTAAGTTATAAGGTTGCTCACTAAAACAAATATTACTGTGACAGTACTTGTATTATTTGTTACTGCGGTTAACATGAATTAAAAAGCAAAGAATTTGTTTAAATGTAGTTTTTCCTTGGCTAGATAAAGTTGGCCACCTTGAACCTTCACTAATTCACATTCATTAAATAAACGGACATTGACTGATTGTTTTCTTGTTAGAAAACAGAAGTGTGCAGTTAGGAATTTCAAAAAAGGGAAAGCGAGAGCAGAAAGGAAGGTGAGGCATGAAGCTGAAACTGTGGAGTGAAGAAAGAAAGAAAGAGGAAGTAGTAAATGTAGATGCAGAGAAGAACTATTCAAGTTATGTTCACAACTAAAATTCATTTAAAGGGATTAGAGAAAACATATTTGCTTTTGCATGTGTTATAGTCACATTTTAAATGTGTTGTAGAGTTCATTTTCTTCAATATGCTGTTAGATTTCATCAAATTGAATGTCACTATGCTTTCAGTTGTTTGAATTTTATGCATGAATTGAGTGAACTTATGAATTTTACTCCTATAGCCTTAACTTACTCCTGTAGCCTAGGCTATATGTTGTTCGGTTTGCTAAATATGTCTGTTTGATAATATACATAAATACACCATGCGTTTTTAGAATAACTTTATTTTATTATAAATCAGGGATAGCCCACTTTACCTGAAAATACATTTGCCTGGAGTGCATGATCTCAAAATGTTTATTGGTATACATCTTTCAAATAAAACATACACTAAATTCAAATATTAATGGACATTAAAGTTAAACTTACACACACACACACACAACTTTACCTGAATTCACCCTAATAGTTGTAAATCAGGCAACACATTAACTCAAGATTGATAATGAATGAATGTGCCTAATGAATTGTGATTGTTCTCATATACATTTATTAAACAATTACCTGTTGTGCAACGGTCAACATTTTATCAATTTTGATGAGGCTAGACATATTTCTTAAATATCTTAACTATTAACACTGGTCAGTCAAAGAGGAATTACACTGACAGAGATAATGTAAGAAATATTTGTATTTCATTTCTGAAGTGCACTTTCAAAATTAAGCATTTTTATTGTGACAATATTTAAATGAAAAATTTAAAATCAACTGAAACATTTGAGAGAAATCACTGCAGAATGAGTAACATTAATAAAAAATTTTTTAAAACTCTAATTTAATAGATTTGATTAAACTAGATTCGAATATACTGAAATGCCTGTGCAGTCAGATATACTCTGGACGCACTACAAATCTAAAACTGTAGTCATCAGGACAGGGGTTCGGCAGACCCATACTGCTGTTATTTGGAATCACCGCCATGCTGTTTTTAAAATCTCGGACATGAAAGACATTGTTTTCATTCTTACATGTGAGAATCAACCTGTTGCTGTAGCGAATGGTGCTAGCATACATGTTCTGATTACCATATCCGTACAATCTTGCAACAGGAAAAGATGTACATGAAATACCATAATTAGAGCATTCCTGATTACTAAGAAACACCTGGGCTTGCCACTGCACATTTTGTTCTCTGTAAAGAGCACTAGGGTGTGCAGGAGTGGAGAAGGTTTGGATTCTGGATTGGATTCTATTTTGGCCATACCCACGGTTATAGTTATAACCTATAGTATAACCATAGCTGTATGTAGGCCTATTACGTGGGTATTTGACAGTGGTTGCATTTAAAATTACACTCCACTCATCTCCAGTGTAGATTCTGGGTAGATACTCACTACTCATGTTATATATTTGCTTTCTGATCTTAGAGAAGGGCAGAGCATTGAACTGAAATCCTCTGAGCAGACCAGTTAGGTACAGTTTCTCATGATTCTGATGGAGAACGCTTGAGGAAAACTGCATTCCGTACAGTTTATCCACTGGGATCATGAGGAAGCGGATGTGATTCAGGAGACTGGCCTGTTGATCTGAACTAATCTCATCACCTTTGTCTTGGATCCATCTCTCCAGAGCTTCAAGAAGAAAAGCTTCATCCTTCACAACCAGGTCTGAGCGCCGCAGCAGAGCGTCCATCATGTGAAAGGAGATGGTGCTCCACACTGGAGAGCTTATGAGGAACTCACAGTTCCAGGAAAGATACTGAAGGACGTTCTCCTGCAGAACAAGGTCACCTGTGCGGACGCCATACTCGAACATGGATACCTGTGTATGGAAGGTGTTGTCTTCAGGAATGAGTAAAGTGAAGACCCTGCCAACATCCTCCATAAGCTTCTTCACTCCAAAGGTAAACGCCAGCTGATGCAGACATTGAGCCGATGTGATGGAGACATCAATCTGACGTGTGTACAAATACCTGAGCAAAAACAGTTCAGATACTATAAGTGTCTAACACTGATAAATATAGTCAGTTCTGATTTGAACAATTCAAATTCTCAATGAACTGAGAAAATTGGATTGAGCTATGAAGTTAAGTGGTCTTCAGAACATTACCTGAGAAAAGCAGAGACATGAGGATGGCAGGTCTGGCTGACATCCACTGTGAGGTTTCTGGAGTCTTTTGTTATGTTTAGTTCTGGATAAAACATGAGGATCATACTGTGCACACAAAAAGTCAATTCTGACTCTTTACTGTTGTCTTTTATATTCATTTTGAAATCACAACCATTTCCACGGTCAAACAGAAGACCAAGATCATCAGACAAACCCAGACTGTTATCCACAGAGAACTGACGATTGCTGGTTATGTTTGTACCTGCAATAATGTAACAAAATAGATTAAATAGTACAAAATAATACAGACATAAAAATGCAAATATATCTAGTTGCTGAATTTCTTACCAGTCTCACAGACCACCCCTGCATCCTCTTTATGTGTGCAGTCAGTAACACCCCAGCCCTTGAAGCTGCAGTCAGACAATGAGCTCTCCGAGCCTTTACAGTTCATGTCATCCAGCCAGATTGAACCAGAACCTAAAAAAAAAATATATATAAGACAATTATTTTTATCACAGTGTGTAACAAATAAATTGTGCTGTGGAGTTTGTACCTTCACCATAACGTCCTCCAAGCGTAACTGATTTTGCTCCAGGTATATATATAAGACAATTATTATACACAGTGTGTAACAAATAAATTGTGCTGTGGAGTTTGTACCTTCACCATAACGTCCTCCAAGCGTAACTGATTTTGCTCCAGGAAAACCCAGCTGACGACACACCACTTGTGCTTCAGCCAGGTCCCATCCATCATCACAAACTGTACCCCACTGTCTGTCATGGTAGACCTCTACACGACCAGATGAAGGCAGATCCCCCACCAATCGCACTCTGCCCTCCTGTTTTGGCTGCTTTAGTCTGTCATCTTCAGCCAGTGACACAAGATTTAGAAGAATACAGAAATTTAGAGATGTTTACCAATATAATTGTGACATAGTATTATTTTTTTTGAAACTCGAAAATTCTCCAAATACAAATAATTTAAAAAGAAAGGTTTTATTTACTAACCAAACAGGCTCAGGCGCGCTGCTGAAACGTGAAGAAACAGTAGAGGCCATAGAAGGTACATGATTCTTCTTTTGCTGGAGATATTGCAAACAGCAGCGACAGGAACACAATTCACAACTGAATGAGTTACAAAACATCTTGCTTTTCCTTTAAATAATGACCAAATCAAGTCAACTATTGTGAAACTTAGATCAAATGCTGTGTAATCACATTTGAGGGCTACCAAAAGTTTCATTTCGTGAAAATGCGAAATTTGGGAAGTTTCATTACTGCAACATATGCATTTAAACAAGAACTGTCTGTCAGCATGTCTGGGCTAAGGTTAGCAGGTTAGCCACATGCTGTGCAAGATCAGTCAAACCAAATTCACACAATACAAAAAGAAATGAATTAGTTAATTTCATACATGTTTTCCCTGTCACAGCCAAGAAGGCAGTTCCCCAGCTGCCAGCGCCTCTGATCATGGACATGGACACCCACCAGCTCTTTGCTACCAAACTAATTCTGTTTTCCCAGGGTCCCTACAGGAGTCG